GCGGCCGCCGCTTGGGCATCTCTTGCCTCCAAGGCTTGGAGACCCCCAAGGAGATGAACGGCGGCACCTGGAACCCCCCACCGGGGACGGGGGAACCCCCTTCACCCACCGCCCCTGTGGATCTGACCTGCTCCTCTTCTTCCTCCTCCTCCTCCTCCTCCCGGGTCGGGGACGAGGCGGCAGCGCCGGCGTCGTTGCGTTGCGGGTTGTGTGGGAGGAGCTTCAACACCTTGGCAGCCTTGGGCTTCCACGCCAAACTCCACCGTGGGCGCCGGGGCCTGGCGTGTAGGCACTGTGGGAAGAGCTTCATCCACGTCAAGAGGCTGCAGACCCACGAGGTGCTCTGCAAGGACGGGCGGCGCGACGGGGACGACGCCGACGTGGCCGAGGCAGAGGTTGACAAGGTCAACGCCAACGTGGGCCATGGCAAGGTCAACAGTGTCAACGTGGGCAGCAGCGTCGACGCCGGCGCGGGTGGCAACGTGGTCAACACCAAGCTCGGCACGGTCAACGCCAACGAGGTCAACGCCAACGAGGTCAACACCATCAACGAGGTCAACGCCAACATCAAGGAGGTCAACACAGTTGACCGTGTTGGGAACGCTGACATCAACAAGGTCAACGCTGACATCAATGAGGTCAACACCGACATCAACAAGGTCAACACCAACATCGAGGTCAACGCCGACGTCAATGAAGTCAACAGCAACATCAAGGAGGTCAACACCAACACCAAGGAGGTCAACACCAACACCAAGGAGGTCAACAGCAGCGTCAAGGAGGTCAACACCAACACCAAGGAGGTCAACCCCAACATTAACAAAGTCAACCCCAACATCAACGAGGTCAACACCGACATCAACGAGGTCAACACCGACATCAACGAGGCCAACACCGACATCAACGAGGCCAACACCACCAACGAGGCCAACACCAACATCAGCCAAGCCAACCCCGACGTCAACACCAAGTCCACCACGCCCAACACCAAGTCCCAGACGCCCAACGCCGCCTCCACCGCGGCGCCCAAGCCAGGCAAGAAGGCCTTGCTGCTCCGTCACCGCGCCCTGGAGCTCCTCCCCGAGCAGGACCCGGTGGTGAAGGTGGTGGACGGGCACGTGGTGTATCTCTGCGGGGTTTGCCAACGTTCCTACATGACCCTGTCCAGCCTGAAGCGCCACGCCAACGTGCACTCGTGGCGCCGCAAGTACCCGTGCCGTTACTGCGACAAGGTGTTCGCGCTGGCCGAGTACCGCACCAAGCACGAGGTCTGGCACACGGGCGAGCGCCGCTACCAGTGCATCTTCTGCTGGGACACCTTCGTCACCTACTACAACCTCAAGACCCACCAGAAAACCTTCCACGGCATCAACCCGGGCTTGATCTCCTCGGAGAAAACCCCCAACGGGGGTTACAAGCCCAAGCTCAACGCCCTCAAGCTCTACCGCCTGCTGCCCATGAGGGCCCACAAGAGG